CCATCCCTCTGAAGGTGTCAGTGCAGCTTCTGTGCCCTCCATGTTTACTCTCATGATGGGGAGGGCACACTCATTCTATCTAAGAACTTAAAGGCAGGCAGTCAATGAGAAAGAAATACCCTACCCTAGATATCCCCTCAGTGGTGGGTGCAGGGAGCTGCAGACCATAGAACCTGTCAGAGTTATCATAGTGATCATCTAGAGTCAGCTGACCCCGTTTTTACCTACAGACCAGAAGTTTTTCATTATTATTATTTATGTGTATGTGTCCGAGTGTCTGTCGTGTGTGTGGAGGGCAGCAGAGCTCCTGGGGCTGGAGTTACATGTGGTTATGAACTTCCTGATGTGGGTACTGGGAATTTGTCTCCGGTGACTTCATCCCATTCTTCCCTGCATGATAACTACTGGTTCCGTGTGCCGTGGGGGCAGCCCTCTGCAGACAGCAAGCCTTCTCCCTCATATCTGACATGGTTCCTGTCATCCTAGAGTAGAAGTGTCCACTCTTCTGAATATTTTGGGATCAGAATTCTGTGCAGCTGGGCCAGGCCTCCCACTGCAATTTCCTGAGAGTACAGACGTCAGAGCAGCTCTAATACCCTGTGGACAGCAACGCTCTGCAAGGAAAGAGCTCCTGTACCCTGCCCTCTCTGTGCTGGGCTCTCATACCTGAGCCCACCTACTCCTCATTACTGCTCTGTGAGGCGATTTACATCTGTTTTACATTTCAGGTATAGAGAGGTCAGGTGACCTGCACAGGATGCACAGCTGCAACTGTCAGGACTTGAACCCAGGGTGCCGTGTGCACACTCCTGAGACCAGAGTGCAGGAAGCGAATTTAATCAACTGAGATCTCTGAGTGCAACTTGCAGTTGCCTCCCAGGAGTTATCCAAAGAAAGGCTTGCTAATTTCTTGTCTCGTAATAATAACCTCCTGTGTTTACAGCACACTCCCCTTCCATGAATGTACGCCTTCTTTTCTCTCTTTCTTTTTTTTTTTTAGAAGTCAGTGTTTCCATATGAATAAAACTTCCATGTGGATTAAGGATGGCTAGCTTGGGCTACGTGAAACTTGTCTCAAAAAAAAAAAAAAAAAAAGATTTTTGGGCCAACTACAATGGTACATCCCTGCAATCCCAGTACTCCAGGAGCTAAGGCAGGAATATTACAAGATTAAGGCTAGTCAGGATAAAACCATCACAAAGAGTTAAATACATGATTACTATGTGACCGATAGGGCCTGAAGATGTAATTCAGTGATAGAGCAATGCTCTGCAAGGAAAGAGCTGCTGTGCCCTGCCTGTAGAAGGATTTACATCTGTTTTACAGGTCCAAGGCCCTGGATCTGATTCCCAGTGCCAACAAAACAAAATAAGAAACTAGATGTGGAGCTAGAGAGATGGCTCAGAGGTTAAAAGCACTGACTGTTCTGGCTGTTCTTACAGAGTTCCTGAGTTCAATTCCCAACAGCCACATGGTAGCTCACAACCATCTGTAATGAGATCTGGCACCCTCTTCTGATGTGCAGGTATACATGCAGGCATAACACTGTATACATAATAAAGAAACTAGATGTGATCTAATAATTCCAGTGCTAGTATATGCTTCAAATAATTGGTGAACAGTTTAGTTTCTCTTCAAACAAATTCCATATGTGATTGTTGATATTAGTGAAACAACCCAAATGTTTGCCAACTGGCAAATTCATCAACAAAAAGAATGAGAAAAATATGGGAGGTGAAAAAAGCCAGGGTTGAAAGATCACATTGTATGATTCCATTTATAAAGATTATCCAGGCTGCCAGGCGGTGGTGGCGTATGCCTTTAATCCCAGCACTCGGGTGGCAGAGGCAGGCGGATTTCTGTGAGTTGGTGGTCAGTGTGGTCTACAGAGCGAGTTCCAGGACGGCCAGGGCTACACAGACAAACCTTGTCTTGGAAGAAAGAAAAAAAAACAAAAATAATATCTGGAAAGAGGCAAGATACATGTTAGAATTTGCTGGGAGCTAAGGAGCTGAAAGCCATAAGTGATTGGCTTGGGGATTTATTCTGGTGGAAGGACGATGTTCTGTCACAAGACAGAAATGATGCACAACAGTGCTCATACTGAAGTTCTGTAGTTTAACATAATTAATATAGGGCCGTCAAGGTGCCTTAGTGGGTAGAGGCACTTGCTGTGTTTAGCCTGATGACCCAGGTTCTACCCCCAGGACCCACCTGGTGGAAGGAGAGAACTGACTCCTTTGAGTTGCTTCCACAGGCGCTACATGGCAGGCATGCACCTATATTCACATCATATAACAACAGTAATAAATATGAAATTTTTTCTTTTTAGATTTATTTCTTTGTTATGTGCACAATGTTCTGCCTGCACGTGCGCCTGCAGGCCAGAAGAGGGCACCAGATCTCCTTATAGATAGTTGTGAGCTGAGTCACCATGTAATTGCTGGGAGTTGAATTCAGGATCTCTGGATGAGCAGCCAGTGCTCTTAACCTCGGGGCCATCTCTCCAGCCCAATAATAAATGTGAAAATTTTAAAACAAAAAGATTAATTTTGTTATTAAGTAAAATTAAGTGAATTTTACTCAGTATGACAAAAAGAATACTGATTCCCTAAGATCCTTAAATCTTCCAGTCCCTCGTCTTGTCTTCCAGGAACACTTGGACATCACTGGGATGCAGGAAGCATATACAGACATTTGTCTGTATAATTTTGATGTAAGTGGTAGCAGCTTGCATATTTTGTTTTTTTTTTCTCAGCAAAGAACTTGGTGGTAAATCTGTATCCTGGAATTTGCACCGGCCATGTGCTATACCCATCAACTGCCATTTGATGGGAGCTCTCTGGTTTACATCTAGCTTGTCCCAGTTGACACTTAGGGTGGTTTTTTTTTTTCCCTCAATCTATTGCAGTTTTGTTACTAGTTTTTTGTTTTGTTTTGTCTACTGTTTGTTTCCTTTTGTAGCCCTGACTGTGTTTTGAGATCACAGAGATCCGCCTGCCTGTGCCTCCTGAGTTATGGGATTAAAGGAATGGGACACCGTGGGCCAGCTATTTTTGCTATTTTAAACAAAACTGTTGGGTTTTATATTTTGAACATTCCTTTTGGTTTTTTTCTTCACCTTTTTTTTTCTTTTGCATGGCTGAAGATTGAACTCAGCTCCCTATCTTTCTTACTCCCTCTCTCTTCAGTGCAGGAGATGAACCCAAGGCCTAGGTAAAAATTCTCCCTCCCCAGCTCAGCTCCAGGGTCTGTGCAGCTGAAAAATAGGACCTCTTTCTTGTACACATTTGAAAGAACTCTGAAGTTCATATGCCAAAAGTGGAAGAGCCAACTGTACCTCAGTCCCATTCCTCGGAGTTGGATCTGCTCCCTCTTCCTCGTCTTCCCTCCTAAGGGCAGTTTCTGGCTGCTGAAGCACTCACACTCCCCAGAGCTTTTCCTGTTCCACAGCCCTGTCCCACCCCCACCCCATTCCTTCCCTCTTCTACTAAAGGGAAGACTTTTCCCCAGTCTCCCTGCTTGTTCTCAGGACCAGAGCTGGAACTAAAGTTTACAGTCAGGTATGACTTTTGGGGCTGCTTAGGAGATGGAGACAGGAGGATTGAAAGTTTGAGGCTAGTCTGTGCTATGTAGTGAAAGCTATCTTCAAAAGTCATAGCAGCTACAGAAAATACATATAATATTTGTGTGCATAGATGTACATACTCATAATGACCTTACAACCACCAGACCCAGCAACAGCTGATGGTAACGAGTATTTTCCAAACTAATCTTGGGCCTATGAGATGGCTCAGCAGGTAATAGCGCTGGTAGCCTGGGCACAGGAGTTGAATCCCTATACCCTCAAGGTGGAAACAGAGAACCAGCTCCCACAGTTGTCCTCAGACCTCCCTTATGCATGCTATGGCACACACGGTAACTGCTTCAATTTGGTTTTGGGGTTTTGTTTTTTTTTTTAAGACAGTTTCACTGTGTAAATAAGACTAGCCTGGAACTCACTAAAATTTACCTCATGAATGTTGGAATTAAAAGTGTGTTACGGGCTTAGGAGGTGGAGAGTTGACACAGGTTAAGAGCACTGACTGCTCTTCCAGGGGTCCTGAGTTCAATTCGCAGCATTCGCATGGTGGCTCACAGCCATCTATAGTGGAAATGATGTCTTCTTCTGATATAAGTTTTTTGTTTTGTTTTGTTTTTGAGGCAGTGTTTCTCTGTAGCTTTGGAGCTTGTCCTGGAACTAGCTCTTGTAGACAAGGCTGGCCTCGAACTCACAGAGATCCGCCTGCCTCTGCCTCCCAAGTGCTGGGATTAAAGGCGTGCGCCACCACTACCAGACTTGGTATAAGTTTATAGAGCACTCATGTACATAAAATAAATAAATCTTTTTTTTTAAAGTGTGTTACTTCCCTTAGACTATAACAAAAAAATTTTTAAAAAAGATGAATAAAACAGAAGACTCAAGGCTGGCCTCGAGCTCAGAGAGCCGCCTGCCTCTGCCTCCTGAGTGCTGGGATTAAAGGCGTGCGCCACCACCACCCAGCTATGATCATTTCTTTTTATTTGTTCTGTTGTCATTTATTAGAAGGGAGTTTGCCTACTTTACACCGGTCTTAAGGTTCAGCAAACGTCCAAAGCTTTTCTATCAGGGCTTTATATAAACCCTCTTCTCTGTCTAGAATGTTCTTTGTAGCCATATTTCCCTTTCTCATCTGAAAAGAGACTTTCTTAGCCAGGAGATGGTGGCACATGCCTTTAATCCCAGCATTTGGGGGATCAGAGGCAGGCGATTTCTGAATTCGAGGCCAGCCTGATCTACAGAGTGAGTTATAGGACAGGCAGGGTGATATAGAGAAACCTTACCTGGAAAAACCAAAAAAAGGGAAAGAAAAAAAAAAGACGAGGAAGAAAAAAAGGCTTCTTAGACAGTTCTGGAGTACTGCATTTCTGTTGTTTCTAACACACTCCCGCTTTCTTTTTTTTTTTTTTTTTTGCTGCAGCTGCTGCTTTGTTTCATTTTGTGTTTCAGCCCAGGCTGGCCTCAAACTTGAAATCTGCCTCAGCCTCCCGACTACTGGAAAACAGGCCTGAACCACCACACTCAGCTATTTCTACTAGACTGCAGACAGGAAGTGTTGTCTAATTCCCTGGAGCCATTTCAGGCCAGGTGTGGCGTACATGTATGTTTGCGTTATTTTTTGATTTCTAGTTGTGATTATTTTGAGGCAAGTCTCATGTAGTCCAGGCCTTGCACTTACTACGTAACCTTTGAACTCCCGATCCTCATACCTCCACCTTTGAATGATCACGCATGTGCACGGTCATCACACGTGTGCACGGTCACACTCAGCCGCTGGGACTTTAGTTTGTTCATGCTAAGGTGAACAAATGAGCGTTCTTCCCAGTGATGTCACCTAGCAGTACAACGTGGGGGTGCCCGGCTCGTAGGCGCCCATCTCTGGACTCTCCCTCGGCCACACTGTCTCTAGTGACAACAGCAGGCCCCTGCACACTAGCCAGAGAAGGGCTGGCAGGGGAGGCTGACACATTCCAGGCTCAAGCCTTGCGTTTCACATCGTCCCACAGAACCGGATGCTGGGCAGAAGCCAGAACTAAGCTTCCATGATGTCACTGCCTTCAAGAGACATACCGCTCCCAGCTCTTCTCAGTGCTGCCAGCTACTCTCAAGAGAGAGTCTCAGCCGGGCACAGCAGTACACGCCTAATCCCAGCCCTGGAGAGGATCTGAGAACTGGATGCCTGCTCATTCTCCATAGTGAACTCAAAGCAACAAGAGCAAACGAATGGAAGGTACAGCCTCTTGCCTCATTCTGGGTCCAAACCCATTTGTGACCATTGACAACTGTTAGAATACACCAGGCCCCAGTTCAGTCTCCAGGACCAAAACACAAAGCAACTATTAGAGCATAAACAGAACAAAAAAGAAGTTGTTTGGTAAAGTGAAAAGTATTAAAACATTTATTATACTCCTCAGTGCGTTGGAGAGGACTCAGGAAGCTTCTGTCTCAGACTCCTGCTTTTGACAGAGGAAGAAGCAGATTTCAGGGATGTCTCCAGAGCCTTCCAAGTGAAAGATTGGATTGCTTTGCTTTGTTCTCTTTGAGATTTTTTTTTTACTTACGTTGGGGGGCAGGTGTATGATCTTGTGTGTGCAGGAGTGAGGTGCTCTGTAAAGCCAGAAGAGGGTGTCAGGTCCCCTGGAGCTGGAGTTACAGGTGGTTTTGAGCTGCCTGATGTGGGTGCAGAAGTCAAGCTCTCTTCTGAAAAAACAGAGCAAGTGCTCTTAAATACTAATCCATCTCCAGACCCCAAGTGAGGGGTTGCTACAGTCCCTGGTAGGTGAGGAAATTGAGTCCAGGAGAACAAGCTGGGTGATGAGGTGGATTGTTCTGAGTCAGGCTTTGAGAAACCCGCGAGGTTCTAAAGCTTCAGGAATTACCTGGGTCACGTGCGGGGCAGTTCTTCAAAAGGAAGAAAGTGATGGCCAGGGCTATTGGAGAACCTCAGTGGGCTCTGAAGGCAGGCTAGCATCTGTGAGGATGTGGCTGACCAATCTGCACAGTCTCAGAGATGTGGCTCATTTGGTAGAGTGCTTGCCTAGTCTGCATGAAGGACTGAGTTCAGTTCCCCAGTACCATATAAACTGGGCATCTAGATGCAAGCCTGTAGTCACAGCACCGGGTTGTGGAGGCAGAAGAATTGGAAGTCCAACGTCATCCTTCACTGCATACAGAGTTTGAGGCCAGCCGAGGCTCCATGACACCTTGTCAAAAACAAAACAATCTATATAATCCAAGAAGAAATGCAGGTAGTCAAGGGCAGAGGTACAGAAAAAAAGATCTGGTGGGCCTACAGGGAGCTGTCACAACAAAGAGGGGTGGGTGGGCTTTGAATGGTCCCTGGCCTATGATCAAAGTCACTGTGTCCCAAGCAAAAGAAACCTGGCAGGGTAGGCAGAAAATAACCCTCGTGACATCTAGCTGTGTGGTCCTTGGCAGGTCCCTTGTACTCTCTGAGCCTTGAGGTATAGAATCAAATAGCAGTTGAGTTTCATCCTTTACTGTGTCTGTGAGGTCAGTCCGTGGTCAGTCCTACTGCAGACTCTCCCACTTGCCCTGCTGATCACCCTGGTTGTGTTCCTTCACCCAAGCATATATCCCTTCTGCAAACCAAAATCTTACCCCTTCCCACCTCCCACCCGACCCCAGCTAGGGACACATTGTAGCATTCTAAGAGAACCTCCTGGATTGGAGCCAGTCCTGAGAACGTGGTGGTGGTGGTGGGGGGGGGCACACGGACACTAGGATCTTCCCAAGGCAGTCTGAACTAGAGAAATTCACATCTGCACCTCCTCGCTCTTGCTCTTCACCACCCCACCCCCACTTCCTAAACTCTGGACTGGCCTGCCCTCTTCACAAGGAGTGAATGTTATTTAAAAGATCAGGAGATTTGCCTTAAATAGGCATGATGTGTTGTGCCAGGACCGAGGATGAGGGGTGGGGAGGAGGCCGCTCTGGTGGAGGAGAAAGAGGAGCTGGTCACAGTAGAGGATAACAGCGTCCCCAGGGTTATGAACAGCCTCACTGTCCCAGCTGATGCCGTGGTCTTTATGCCCCAGGAATGGAAATAAGTGTTGAGGGCGGTTGTAGGCCTTCCTGACACTGATTCCTAGAGCTTTAGTCCTGCCCTTGTGCTGTCTGCCCTCCCAGCCCTAGCTTGTAACTGGATACCTGCCTCACTCTGCATCTCCTCCACCTAGCTCACCTAGCTAGGGCTCTGCTTACTGAACCCAAGGGCCACCCCAGGGGTGTGGCAGGCTTCTGCCTGGACCCTGAGCGGCTGAAGAAGAGAGCTGGAACCAAGGGGATGAAGAGTAAAAGATGGGCTGACCATGTGCATCTAGCACCCAGCAGCCCTGCTGCTCGCACCTGGATCTGCTGAGACTCTTGGAATGCGCTAAGGGAAGTCTTGACTGGGTATGGTGGCACACACCCTTGATCCTGGCACTCAGGAGGCAGGTGGACTTCTGTGGGCTCAAGGCCAGCCTAGTATACATAGCAAGTTCTAGGCAAACCAGGGAAACACTCTATACAAAATAAATAATACAGAAAAGAAAGAAATGGGGGTTTTACTGGGCATGATGTCCCAGCAAAACACTCAGGAGAGAGAAAAACAACACAAAACAAAAATCTCACCTGTGGGGCTGGAGAGATGGCTCAGAGGTTAAGAGCATTGCCTGCTCTTCCAAAGGTCCTGAGTTCAATTCCCAGCAACCACATGGTGGCTCACAACCATCTGTAATGGGGTCTGGTGCCCTCTTCTGGCCTGCAGGCATACACACAGACAGAATATTGTATACATAATAAATAATAAATAAATATTTTTTTTAAAAAAATTTTCACCTGTGGAATTTAAGGTCCAAGAAGATAATCTGAGCCCAGGTAGTGGTCCAAGCCTTTAGTCCCAGCAGGCAGGCGGATTTCTGAGTTCAAGGCTGGCCAGCCAGCCTGGTCTATTCTACTGAGCTAATTCCAGGATAGCCAGGGCTGTCAGAAAATAAATAAATTTGTTTGGTCTTTTTCGTGAGTGCCCATCTTCCATCTACAGCTGTGTCACCTTGGCCCGCAATCTGTAAACTTAGCTCAGAGTCAACTCTGTCACGTTCTGGTGAGATGGTAGCTAGAGAGAAGAGGGACTTTGATAGGGCAGATTTCCCGTTTATTGGGTGAACCTGGAGGCAAGACTTGATTCTCCCCCACCCTGCCTGGCCCTGCTGGAGACAGGTGGGAGGGAAGGCTTAGGAGGACAGCTTCCCAGTACTTCAGACTGCTGTCAATTCTTTCCTCTTCCTTCCTTCCTTTCGTTTTGTGTTGTTTTGTTTTGTTTTTCGAGACAGGATTTCTTGTGTAGCTTTGGGGCCTGTCCTGGAACTAGCTCTTGTAGACCAGGTGAGATCTGCCTGCTGTCAATTCTTTTTGTTATTCCCGATGCACCTAAGGAGTGAGTCTGAGAAAGGGGTGGGGAGTATCCCTTTCGGGTGATTGCAATAAGGCCAATATGAGCCAGTCTGGAGGTTTTGTCTCATGCTGGTCCCAATCCGGCCATCCTTCAGCCTTTCTGGGATTTATTTTGTTTAACTGAGACAAAGTATCAGCTCATAGTCTTGGCTGGCCTTGAACTCTCTGCCTCAGGAATGCTAAAATTAAAGGCATCTACTATCGGAGCTGTGTCCCTAGGACTTAAATGTAGGAATCAGCCTTATGGGAACCCCTAGCAAGCACAGCCTCAGCCAAATCACCTAGCTGCTCATAGTTCTTTCTCCATAAAGTTGGAAACAGTTGCCCCGCCCTCCTCTCAGAAAAGAACAGTGGGGCTAAGGAACCCCAAACATGAGCTTAACACCCAGTGGACGCATCTGAACAAAGGAAATTTCCATCTCAACACTGACTCAGCCCCCACTTCCCGCTCCTGAGGTGAGTTTGTTCCCCACTCAGGCTGAAGCCTTTAAGACAAAGGATTTGCAGTCTCCAGAGAGGAGTTGGATGACTCCTTGGTGCCCCCTAGTGGTGGAAGTGCGTAGACTAGGAGGGCCTGGCTATGTTCACTAGACAGTAGGGATTAATAAACCAAAAAAAAAAAAAAAAAGGAAAAAAGATACCAGGGTCTTACAAGGCCTAGCATCCTACATAACTGACCGCCCACCCAGTCGTGGTAGAAATATCCTTCCCTCAGTCTATGGCATGTTCAGAGTGTCCATTTTTTTTTTATTTTATTTTATTTTATTTTATTTTTCGAGACAAGGTTTCTCTCTGCAGCTCTAGCTATCCTGAAACTCACTCTGTAGAACAAGCTGGCCTCAAACTTCAGAGATCCACCTGCCACTGAATCCTGAGTGCTGGGATTAAAGGTGTGCACTCCTGCCACCAGGCCAGTGTCCACTTTTTAAAATGGTCATGCTGAGATCTGTGGAAATACAAAAGTACTTAGGCCAGGTCTCTTGGGACCAGGGGATTGGCCTTGTTCTGAGACAACTAATAAATTGTTAGTTACTTCAGTTGCAGATTCCAGGGATCACTGAGGAAAGGGAGTAAGCAGCCAGAGGTGGGGCTCCCTCCCTGTCAGGGGTATTTTTGGGAAATGGCAGGGACTGTGGCAAGCACATCTCCTGCCCGCCTCTTGGCAGATTGTCGCGCCTTGTGCTAAACTCTCATGCCACCCTTTCGAGGACAGGTACATTTCTTGCTTGGAAGTGGACTATCATTGCCCTAGGCACAAAGCTCACTGACTAATATGCCATCTTGATAGTGACTCTTATATTATATTTTATTTTTTCTGGTTGTGAAGCATTGTCACAGTTTCTGGGATTGTTTTCCCATTGTAATAGAGCTCCCTCAGCACCCTGAGGTGGGCTGTGTCAGTTCTCTGTGCTGTGGGATCTGCAGAGCCCAGCACCTAACACATTGGGGGTGATTGATCAATATTCATGGAAAAAAAAAGATTACACAAGATGGACAGGTAGTTTCCCTTACCACCTACAGTAAGATGAACACTGAGACTATGTTTGCCTTTGTTTGCTTTTCCTGCTCCCCTTCTTTCCCCCCCATTCTAAACCAGTCCTCACATTGGATTATTTGTTTAAAATCCTGAAGCTAGGGGCTGGAGAGATGGTTGAGAGGTTAAGAGCACTGGCTGCTCTTCCTGAGGTTCTGAGTTCAGTTCCCAGCAACCACACGGTGGCTCACAACCATCTGTAATGAGATCTGGCCTACAGACATGCAAAATATATTTCATTTCTTTAAAAAAATAAATAAAAAAAAATAAAATCCTGAACCTGCCTAAGGAGTCTTGATTGAATTCACTCTCTAGATCCTGTTCCTTGAGATGATGCTGTGGGAAAAAGAAAGGTGTCCTTGAGATTGGGGAGAGTCTCCCCTGGGAGCGCCCAGGAAGGTGACAGGATCACCAGGGTGTGAG